ATATATATATATATATATATATATATATATATATATATATATATATGTATATATATATTTTGGTTGGAATCTCAGCTAAAGAAATTTAGAATGATTCGTGTCTTCAATCGATTTTGTTGAAATTTTAATTAAAATTGCCGAATTGCACGGTTTGACTGAGATTTCAGTTATTTTTGACTAATTTAGCACAGACTTAAAATATTTCAGTTGGAATCTCGATTAAAGAAATTTAGAATGGTTCATGTCTCAGCTATGCCGATTTTGTTAAAATTTTAATTAGCATTGCCGAATTACACGGTTTGGCTAAATTTGAACCATTTTTTACTAATTTAGATTTGAAATATTTCGGTTAGAATCTCGGCTAAAGAAATTCAAAATAGTTTGTATCTCGACTATACTGATTTTGTTAAAATTATTTAACTATGTTATCTTGTATTTAATTTTATTTCTTATGCATTTTTGTTGCACTTGTTGATAATAGGAATGAGAACATTAAAAAGCTATAAACCCGTGAAACCAAATTGGACCCTCAAATTGGACCAAAATAAAAAAATAGGACCTACATATTCTTTGTACTTCTACATTAGTGCCAAGTTAGAAATAAATCGGAGTGTACCTTTTGGGTAGGTTTACTTGTCAGTTTACTTTCCTCCTTTTTTAATAATCTTCAACGAATCTTTTGAGATAAGCTCATTATCGCATACTCAAAAGAAAAATTTTTAATATTATTGTGATGGAAGTGCTAAACTCACTAGAATTTAGAATGTATTTTGAATATTTATGATAAACTTATGATAGATTTGCGGATATACAGGGTGCCTGACAAGTCCAGTGTCACAGACCTGTCCAGATAGAACTTATCAAACTGAACATAAAATTGCTCTACTATTTCGCAAACAACCAATTCTGAATTATCAGTCGGAGATGATTAGCGAATGATCACGTCCGATATGATGGATGAGCTGTAATGGCGACATTTGCCGTTATGTACTCATACATTAAGTCAAACTGAACAAAATGTCCTTTATTACTTTCCAAATAATCACGTAGATCTTCAGTTATTAATTTAAGAGACAATCGGACACCCTGTATAAACTTATAAAATACTCGAAACAAATAGCATTTATTTGAGTGCGGTGTGTATTTTTCTGTGCGTATGTATGTGCATTTTTATCGTGTCATTTAAGGGGACGCTGGAGTCAAAATCTTCACCGACAGAACTTTTTTCCGCAAAGTTTACATTGTATTAGCTGTACGGAATTACAAATGCTTTTGCACAATAAAAATATCTGCGAGAATGAATTGGAGCATTGCTCTATGTAGGACAAAAACGATAAAAAATTTCAAAGCTGACATTTGGAGTGTAAACTAGTCTGTCAGACGCTGTCAGTTAAAGTAAATATTCGCTTGATACAAAAAATCCATAGCTTGTATAACCGAACGCGAGTTTGTTCAGAGTAATTTCAAAGAACATTTCTGTACCTGTATTTCTGATTTTAGAAACTAAAAAATATCGGAAAAATTTACAGAAAGATTTCTACATATGCGTGATTAAAATATTTTCCGCTAAATAAATATGGTAAAACAAAGTGACACACGTAAGATTTGTGTGTACAAGAGATACGAGAAGTACGTGTTAGTGAAAATCGTCTCTACGTTATCGACATGTTTGGAACTCGTCTTCGATCCCAACGTCCCTTTAAAAGAGTTTAATATGCCTGCCGGAAATCTCCGTCGCCGTTGCTAACGCGTTTAGTATTAATAGGAACATTCCCGTCGGCCGTGTTTAAATATACGACCGATTCGATCGGCATGGACTGAAGAAAGGTGTCACGTTCGTGGTGTGTTGTGTGTGTGTGTGTGTGTGTGTGTGTGTGTGTGTGTCGTACAAGCGCACGGGACAAAAATACGCGTCACGTTCGCGATATAACACTTACTTATGCGCGTTTGTTGAGAATGCGGCTCGTCATATCCCTCCGGTTTATCCGGATCTGGAAATAAAAGAGCTTTTAGTGACGAGAAAAGACGTATCGTGTCGCGAAAGAACAAGAGAACGTGGCGCGAGAAGGCACAATTGCGAGCTCTAACGCGGAGATAAAAATATATCCGCGCGCGACGGCATATCTGTCCGCACATCCGACGTTTGCAACACGCGATCTCAAGGATATCCGGTAGGGATGTCTTCCAGCAATCGCGATTGATCCATGTATAACACTAGGGGATGAGTATGAAATCCATACAGCTGGACTGATTAATTGTCCGTCAGATAGCTGCAGGATATTGTATAGAGATATCTCCGGCACTTCATTATGACATATGCGGACAATCGTAAGACGGCTCTGAAGTATATTGTGTTATACACGCAGCGAATTTGTCTCGAAGATAATAAACATTTCAAGAAGCGTCATAATAGTCTTGCCTGACTAGAATTTACTTCTAAGTAAACTACGAAGATGTTTGAGAAATTTAGAACAATAAGAAGAAAAATTTAGAAGAATAAAACTAGGCAAATATAATTTTTTCGCAAAAAAATATAGGACTTTCTCAATAGTTTTGAAACGCGGGAGGAGAGGAAGAATCCCATACTAAATATATATTTGCTTTCTGCAATTTTCGTATAAACACGCATATACAGGAATAAAACATATTTTGTACTTTAGTAGGTTTCGATCGTGCATAGAAATTTTTGTGTTAAATTTTTAACACAACTGTATTAAACATTATTATTTTGACTCTTTCGCTTTGAGTTCATATATTTACTATTTCTAAATGTTAAAACACATTTCAAATATTAAAATAACACAATTTAAGTTTCTTAAGTTAAAATAATATAATCTATATGCAGCATATTTCTTTAGTAACATTTTATATTTTATATATAAAGTATATGAATAGATTTGAGTTATTTGTTAACATTTGCCTTGTGTTAAATTAACACAAAAATTAGAGTAAATAAATTGGGACATGTGAGATGTGTTAAATTTAACAGAAAATTTTTTTGCAATACACTACACATTGCACAATAATTACGAGATAAATTCTCTTCTCATACTGCCATCAGAAATAATGAACAATCCAAGCTGCAGCGTCAAAAATACACGTAACAGTGTACAGAAAATTTTTTACTTTATATAATATTATGTAATATTTTGCAGACTGTTTTCATTCGCTTTCACAATCCGTACATTTTATCCTCTAGTTAAAACTGAAAATAAATGTAAATTCAAGTTAAAGTTGCGATTCGGTGTAAAAACAAGAATGTCGAATTCTCGTCGCAAATCGGGGCGAGCATAAAGCGCAAAATGGAACGACAATCACCTCGCACCGAGAGCTGCACTGCATACATGATCTTCGGCTCCGTATTGACCTGGCACTCGTACTTGCCAGAATCCGTCTTTCTGGCGTTGTCCAGCCTGAGAGTCCAAGCGTCGCTGCCCGGCGAGTGCTGAGGTCCGAATCGCGCGTCCGAGCTGAACGCAAAATTCCCCGATGTAAGGATGTGGAGGTCCCTGCTCCTCATCCAGGAGACCTGAAGTCAAAAGTACGGATTATTGGATTATCGGAGAGAGAATCTCTCATGGTCTCGAACTCTCTTTAAAACTCTCCAATTTTGCCGACGTTCTCTAATATGATAGACTTTCGTGTCGTTTGAGCTCTGACAGATACACGTATGTGTATACATACTTCTAAAGGAACTTAGAATCGGATAATGACGACTTGAGTCGTCACGGAAAAAGCCACGGAAAAATATAAAAATATACCACAAATATAAACGTCTTATAAGTAACATACACTTATATATTATATTTCTTTCATATGTGACAACATATAAGCTGTAAATCGAATATGATGATGTCAAGCCAATAATGACGGCAAGCCAACGACGTTTACCTGATGATGTTTATCAACGCAAATATATTCTTAGCTTATTGTCATTATTATTGCAATTGCTATTGTTCCTTAAAATAAGTGCTCAAACTAGTGGTCTGTTGGTATTAATCTAACGAGAGAGATAAAGTGTACTTAATCCAAGTATCACATGTTCACTAAAATATATAATCAAATATATTCTCTCCCGTGTGGGTTAACACTGGAACTTGGAACGGACATTCGAAGTTTCCTCAATCGCGCGCGCACGAAAACGCCCGACATGGACGGGATTCCGGCGAATACGTGGGAGTACACGCGAGCTCTTGAGTCGAAGTAAGCTTAGCATATAAAAAGTAAGAGTAGGGGTAAAAAATAAAATAACTAATTTCACTCATACAGGGAAAATTTGTTTGTTTGCAAGCTGCCAGAGCTTTTCGTGCTCAGGTGGACGTGCTCTACCTTCACACGTGGTATTGCGTGTCTTATGTCAGACACTCTGACGTACTCTGACTAAACTCTAACTCTCTCTTACACCAGAAGTATTTATTTGACAGAAAGACTTTCGGTGTAAGAGAGCTGGAGTGCAGGCGTAAGCGGAATAAATTATTTTTATTTCTCACTTCACTTCTTACGTACTTCTTACTTCTTACTCCAAGCTTACTCCGCATATTGTAGACGAAGCTTTAGACGCTACGCCGTAACTCGGCTGTAATGTTGCAAAGTGTGTACGTAATTGCACGCGCACTCTCGATAACGACGGCGCTCTCTGTCTCTCTCTCTCTCTCTCTCTCTCTCTCTCTCTCTCTCTCTCT